TTGTCCCCACCACTCCTCAACCCACCAGCCCAGCCAATGTCACCTCCACAGCCACTGTTCCTGCACCCACCACCCTCCCAACTGTCCCCACCACTTCTCACCTCACCACCTCAGCCAGTGTCACCTCCACTGCTTCTGCACCCACCACCCTCCCAACTGTCCCCACCACTCCTCATTCCTCCACCTCGGCCAGTGTCACCTCCACTGCTCCTGCACCCACCACCCTCCCAACTGTCCCCACCACTTCTCACCTCACCACCTCGGCCACTGTCACCTCCACTGCTCCTGCACCCACCACTCTCCCCACTGTTCCCACCACTCCTCATCCCACCACCTCGGCCAGTGTCACCTCCACTGCTCCTGCACCCACCACCCTCCCCATTGTCCCCACCACTCCTCAACCCACCATCCCAGCCAGTGTCACCTCCACAGCCGCTGTTCCTGCACCCACCACCCTCCCCACTGTCCCCACCACTCCTCAACCCACTAGCCCAGCCAGTGTCACCCCCATGGTCATTGTCCCCATGTCTACCACTCTCTCCACTGTCCCTACCCCTTTTGCCATTACCAGTCACCCAGCCAGCCAGTCAAGTACAGTCCCTGCCAAGACCCTCACCTCAAGTGCTCCCAGTTCAACCCTCCCAAACACTGGGACTCCCACTGCCACCTCCACTGCCCGACCTACTCTGACCCCATGCTCCATCCACCAGTCTGCCACCACTCACCCTGCTGTCACCCTCCTCACCACCATCCTGGCTGTGGTCAGCTCCAATGCCACCTCTTCTAGCTCTGTCCCAGTCCCTGTTGTCACCCCTGAAGTCACCACCAGCACTAGTGTTGGTACTAACCCGGCTGGTACCACCCACAGCACCAGCACCACACTGGTGTCCGTGAGTCCCCCAGCACCTGGGAGTACAACCCACCCTGAGTCTGCCACCCATAACACCACCCTGAGCACCCACAGCACCCCTGTCCCTACCTCCACCTCTGCACCCACTGCCACCCATAACACTGTCACCTCTGTGCTTACCTCTACCTCTGCACCCACTGCCACCCATAACACCATCATCCCTGTCCCTACCTCCACCTCTTCAACTGCTTCCACTACAGTGACAGCCACCAACTCCCCTCCCTACAAGCCCACCTCCATTCCCAACTCCACCATCTCTACCCAAAACAACATTGTCTCCTCCACGACCAAGACCACAACTCTGCCTTGCAAGACCAGTGCCCCTCCAGAATTTCCCAGTCCCTCTTCCACCACCACCAGCAGTGAGACCACTAAACCAACACCTGGAGGTGTGCCAGAGCCACCACAACCAACATCCAATGGATACATCAACCTGCAACCTGAGGCTGGTAAGGTGTGAGTGTTTAGAGTTGGGAAAGGCTTAGGAATCATGGCAAGGCTGAGGTCTTCACCAAGGTGAATCCACCTTGTTCCAGGCTCTGCAGCCCCTGGACCTGTCTTCAGGCCCTGTGTGCTCTCAAGTCTAGCCAGGTGCACCTTGAGGTGTCTCATCACCTTCCAAGCATGCAGCATTCCTCTCCTGCTCGACAAAAAGCTGGAGTAATCCCATTCATGCCAGTGCTCTGGGCTGTTTTCCACAAGGCAGGGACCTGGCCTTCCCTATTTTAGCTGAATATGGTTTCTGAATGAAAGCACTGAAATCTGTACTCCTTTAACCTGGCAGAGCTACATCTGTAGCTTTAATGACCTAACAGATTTACTCCTGCTTTATGCTGGTGAGAGTAAGACAGACTCAGCCCAGATGACATTTACACCTAGGTGCAGGTTGGTGCCTGAGACATAGGTACAGGTGATGTCATAGGAAGCAGAGAAATGCTGTCCCAACCCTGGTGTACCTGAATTCCACTGCCCTCACAGCTGACACATGCTATGCACCTGGAGAATCCAATTCTTTGTGTTTTCCCCCCAGGATCAGGATCCAGACTCTCCTCCTGCCTCATGCACGTGCTGGCTGCTGCCGTGGGGAGCTCACTGCTGCAAGGGCTGCTCTGACCCCAACACCTCAGCACCACACTCACCCCATCCCTCCTTTTATTTCCACCATCCTGAAAAATAGAGGTGCCAGAAAATTCCCTGCTGAAAAGCAGAAAGCCAGGAATGAAGGAGTTTGTCCGTTTGATACCAGCACAGAATTTGGTGGTTATTTTTGGGGCTGGGCAGTGACAGGACAGACATTTTTGCAGCCCAAATCAGCCCCACTTACTAGCACATTACTCCTTGCATTACAGTCACTAGCAATGCTGACTGCCCTGACAATGCATCAACACTGGGCCCAGTTCTGCCAGCTTTACTGACTGGTATTTTCCTTCTAAGCAATCCCACAGGGATCTGTTGAAACAGTGGGACAAATCAGGGATTTGAGTCACTGGCTGTTGCAAAAGAAGCAGAATGTGGCCCAGCAATGCAGCTGAAAGACCCCCAAAATTGCATTTAACTTGTTTTATGAACTGTTTTTTGACCCATATTTGTTCAAACTACATGAAGAGGAGTTGGGGGATGATTAACTGAAGAAAACTTACCTTGATTGTTGCAATGCTATACAATAAAACATCAATCAACTATTTTTTTCCAAATCAAATGTGTTCTTTGAGGTGTTTAGTGCTTTGTACTGTAGTTTTTCTAGATTAAATCTAAAGTCTACAGTGAAGGACAGACCAGGCTCTCCTGACTCCTTTCTATAAAAAGCAGGAACAATGAAGATTTATAAGATAAAAGATATATACATCCCTATTTCCCTTCCAGACTCTCCTTCTGGGGGAAAGGAGGATCTCAGGGGCTGGATATAGGTTGCACTGAGGCTTTTTTGGACAGAAATTCCCAATAAGTGTGCAAGAAAAAGTGTTTTAAAACCTCTTTCACCTCCCCATGAGAAAGATGAGAAGAGCCTCAACTCTTCAGTGTTGAGTAGTCAATGCCCACTTAATTTGGGCTGTTACCTGCAGACACAAAGGTGAAGGCAGCCTGAAGGAAGAGCAGACAACAGCAACTCATCAATTTGCTTCAGTATTTTTTACTTATTTCCATGATTTATTTACAGTCAGCCAGAAAACTTCACTCCCACTCTGAGGTTTTGGCAGTGTCACGAGATCAGGATCTGAGAAATGTCATTTTAAATCTGCAGAACAGCCCAACTGCTCACCCTTAAACCCATCAGTAAAACACTGATGTGGTTTGTCTTGCTGGGGCTGACCTGGGCTTTGGCTGTCCCAAAGGCAAAGATACTGCTCCAAAGTGTCTGGAATCTTCCCTTCAGACAAGACAGTAGTTTTTCATAAAGTGATTTGAAAGACAAAAGTACCTAAAAGTGAATCCTAGGCCAATAACTGTTGCTTGATGCACTGAACACCCATCACCCCCCAGGCATGGCTGTCCCCACAGGCCTCAGAGCAGGTCACAGACTGGTCCCCCTCATCTTGCTTCCTCTTGAGAGAAGATGGTCAAGAGAAGATGGACATCATGAGGAAACTAAGGAGCAGGGCAGGCAGGAGGTGGAGCACCGTGGCCATGGCACCCAGAGGGGCTGAGGATGGTGCTGGAGGACAGAGAGGGCCATTAGTGTGAAGAAATCAGTGATTGAACCATTGAATCAGTGATTCCTCCATGGAGAAAATTTCCTTATGCCCCATCCAGGGATTATCTTTGCCTTTCTAACCATGGTAAACAGCACCACCATGTCAAGTTTGGGAATTGGAACTAAATGATTTTTAAGGTTCCTTCCAACCCAAACCATTCTGTGACTCTATGATTCTAAGCCCAAATCCAACACACCTCAGAGGTGGAACCTCTGGAAGTGCTCACTCAGTTGGGGTGTTCTGCCAGTGAGGATCTTTCCAGTGGGATTACAGGATTGATCCTCATATTGGACCCAGAATTTGCCTCACAAAGGCTTCAGGTTTCCCAGCACAACTGAACTTGCTGCCCCAGTTTTTGCTGCAACTCCAAGTAAATATTTGAAGCCCAACCATTAGAGGACCTAAAAATATGTACCTGTAAATCTGGGTGTGACAAGGTTGATGTAGCCTTCCTGTGTTCCCCCTGTGAGCCCAATGTGCAGTTCATCCAGTTCTGTTTGTTTCTGTACTTGGATCCATTGCCGGACAGGAGACTTGTACTGCCACTTTGCCAGGCTGGGGAGATTGACCCCCAGCAAGCCCTGAACCTCAGAAGGTGTCAGGCTCTAGGGGAAATCACAGAGCAGAAATTAGGGGTGTAAATGCAGGAATAGGAATGATGCCTCTGAGCAAGGAACCAACAAGGTTTCTATCGGCAGAAGTGGGAAGAACAAGAAAGACAAATTTCTGGTGTGTGGCTTCAACTGGGACAATCTTCCCTTAGGATGGGGGAAGAAACATGATGGTTCATCAGACTATTGCTGATGTCCTCTGATGACAACAGAATTAAAGGCCTCAGTCCCTGCCCAGATCACTCAGATTTCTTCCAAAACTGATGACATTACAGTTAACAGTCTTGTTAGGAGATTTGTCACACAGCTGTAAACTGTAGTGGACACCTGTCCCTTGCTCCTGCCACTGCTGCTATGAGAGCTGCTCTGCAGAAATTCAACTGGTTTAGCATCTGTGCATGACTCCAAATGGCATTTTTAAAGCAGTTTCAGGCCAGTTCTCCACTTTCTACAGGTCTAACATAATTCTGAATTTGATAGAACAACTCCTGATTTCTGACAATGGACAATGCAACCAAACCCAACTACTCAGCATAATACAAGTCAAAGAATCAAACAATTCCAAGATCCTGCTCACCATCAAAGAGTCTCTTCTTAAATTCACAAAAGTGCTAATGTTCATGTTCACATTGTCCTTGCTTAGAGCCTTGAGATCTGCACCAGGAGCCCCACCTGGAACCAAAAGGAAGTATATCAACACATAGAAGACTCCCAAATGATCAGTGCTGTGTATGTGTATAAGCTGGAGCTATAATGATGTCTCCAAAATGCATTAGGCTGCTAACAGAGTGAGTTCCAGCTGCAAAATATATGGAAGCTACTTCATTTTTTGGGAGGATATTATTGTGTTGGCCATTAAAGGAACTGGTGATGATGCCAGACACTAGGCAGGGAGGAAAGAAGAGTTTGCTCAGGTTGGGAATAAATTCTTGGCTTAACAGGGAAAAACATCTGTTTTGTGACATGGAAAATGGCTGTGAGACAAGCATTAAGATTTAGCAGCTTGATTTATCATGGATAGAGCAGATCTTTATCCATCCCAGAATTCATGAGTTTGACTTCCCCTGTGACTGTCTGGCAACTGATTTGGGCAACTGTAAGTCAGGTACAGAATCTTTCAAGAATATTTTATGTCATCTACAGGTTTAAAAGATAAACTTTTAACAATTTGGCTTTGAAAATTCCCAAATCTTAAGTAGCATTAAATACCATCTTTCCCCATATCATACTGCTCTTTTACATACCCAGATATGGTAAAATCAGTTCATAGTAAGCAGGAAAGTAGTGCTGGTTGGAGAAAGCATGCTTGGCTTTGGCATACAAGATGTTTTTTGTTGTCTGTGAACAGGCTGAAGCATTCAGAGATGCCAGTCTGCAGAAAAATGGAGATTTAGGGAGAAAAAAAGCTTTTGTTATCTTCAATCTGTCTAAATTTTGACCTATTCTGAGTATCTCTCTGAGATTGTCTCCACAGGACAGGTAATCCCATCTTCCCAGTGGATAGAAGATGCATGGAGAGAGGCTAAGAGGAAAAATAATGGCTCAGTTTCCTGCTCAGAATGATTTGTCTTCCAAGTTCTGATGCTCTGATGGTGCATGATAAATTCATGTGTTTGCAAAGATGATGTTAATTAATTTCATCTTCCAGTCTATCAAAGGAATTTAAACTGGAAGTGTGCAAAAAAACATGTGGATGTGGCACTTGAGGACATGGTTTGATGGTTGGACTTGATGATCATAAAGATCTTTTCCAACTGTAATTATTCAGTGATTCTATGAAATTAAGTTTAATTAACCCTCTTTTGCCCCCAGATAAGAGCAGGCATGCAGACCAGATCTGTTGCCTGCTGAGCTGCAATAAACAGAGTTTGATTACAAATCTGAGTCCTTCCTGGTAGGATAGAGACCAGCAGGGTGGAGAGCAGCAGGTTTTAAACTTAAACATGGAGCAGGTACTAAGATGCTTTCTAAATTTCCTTTCACTGAGCGGAGAAAAAGGGAAACTGCACTTGCAGTGGGAAAGAGCTTTTGCAAGAAGCCAAGAGCATCCCAGTTTCTGACTTACTTCAGGCTGCTGGGGTCTATGGCCTCCAGCTCAGTTTCATTCAGCAGGCACACATATCTCGTCCCGATGGCATTCAGGGCAGTGGCATTCAGGGCCTTGCCCAAGTCAACATAGCGTTTAATTGCTGCTGAGGCCTAGAGACACATTGAACTGGATTAATTGATCTGAATCAGAATTTATGTTTCCATCCCCAAAACAAAAATATGCAATAATAATCAAAATAAAATTGAATCATTTCAGATCTATTCGTTTGGACCTCAAGGATGAGCCATTAAACCTTGTGGAGCCAAAGATGGTTTAACCATCTTCAAACCCAATTTTAACCTTAAAGCAGCAGCTCCCAAACTTGAAAGTAAACATAGGCAGGAAAGCAAACCCAAGTCCCTACCAGATTATCTGGGGGCTGACTTTTCAGGAAGGAAGCCAACATGTCAGCTGAGGTGATCTTCCACTTGGAAATTTCCTCAGGGGTGATGAGGGGAAGGAGGGGATGAAGGCTGGAGAGCAGGTTTTCAGGATACCCATCAGCATATCTCTGTGGAAACACTATTGTTATTGCTACAAAGTGGGGAAGTGGGGCTGGGGGAGTTGGTTTTTCAGTCTGAAGATGACTAGGTGAGGATCCTGTTACTGTCATCAACTATCTAACAGGAGATTATAGGGAGGATGGAGCCACATTCCTCTCAGAAGTGCACAGTGAAAGGCTAAGGGTCAACAGGCAATGAATGTTTTTATTAGAAATTA